GCCTTGTTTGTTTATTAAAACACGTGTTAAGCCCTGTCGTGTGCCAGGCCTATCTATTTCATTTCCTTTATCTCACTCAGCCACCCTGGAGGGAGAGATTATTATACTCCTATTTACAAATGAGAAAATATAAGCTCGGAGAGGTGAGAACTTTTCCTAGGTCATGCGGAGTCTATGTGAATCCAAGAAGTTCACTATCCAGGTAGGGTAACAGGCAAGGAGAGAACCAAAAATAGTGTGCAACATTCTCTGGGACTATGGAAGTTAGAAAGATGAATTCTGTTGCAGGAGGCATGTGAACCAGATCTACGGGATGAGTAGAAGTATATGTGGGAAAACGGAAAGGAAGCACACGGGCAGAAGTGACATCCTGAGCAAAGGCACGATGACATGACCCTCCATGGTGTAGCCCACGATTGTTGAATGAAGGCAATGAGGATTAACGGTTAGGCAGGGTTCTCAACCTTGTCTACAGTCCTGAGGTTCATGGATACCCTTAAAGGGGTCTACAAATCTCCTGAAGTTGTATCACAGTTGTGAGTGTGCGAGTATTATTCTTTTCTGGAGAGACGTTTTTCATTTTCATCAGATTCTTAAACTGGGACATGAACTCAAAAAAGCCTTGGGTAGCAGAGGAGCTTGGAGAGGTTGGCAGGGCCCGGGAACAAAGGACCTCATAGGCTTTGTTCTGGAATTCATACTTCAGTCTGAGGTGTTTTCTAGCTGGTGATTAACATGAGAAGGGTCTTAGGAAGACAATACAGGTTACTGTGAGCTGAAATCAAAGGAAATTCTATAAACTATAAAGTGCTTATTCCAAGAGTCTAGCACAGTGCTGAGCATGTACTGGGGGCTCAGTAACTGCTTACTGAATGAATGAATGAATGAATGAACGAACAAATGAGAGAATGAGAGAATGAATGAGCATAGGTGTATATAATAATACTAGAGTCTATTTCTCCAGGGTGACTCCACACATTTCCTGGACAATTTAACTGAAGTTGAAATCCAGGGAACCAAAGCTCCCCTGCACTGACCTAGGTTCTAAGAGAAAACTACTGAGTCCTGAGATGATGTTGTGGGTGGCAGGGTCTGGGGGTGGAGGTTATGGCACCTGAGGGTGTGTCCACACCTGACTGCAGGGTAGGGCTCCTCCCACAGTACCCTGCATTATCTTTGGAGGAGTGGAGGCAATATGGCCAGGAGGGCTAAAATCATTTCTTTCCTCCTTCTACGTTTGATCCATCAGTTTGTCCTGTTGACTCTGTCTCCAAATCACCTTCTCCATCCCCTCTCTTTCTCCATTGCCTCCTCTCCCCGCCCTGCTCCTGCTCTCGCACCTCGCATCGTCAGCAGTCTCAAAAACAGTGCTCTTGCTTCTGCCCTGCCTCTCTATTATCCACTCTCTATATGGTGGCCAGAGGGATCTTTTAAAACACTTTCCCTGCAAGGAACATGGCTTTCTTTCCATGTACTTAGAGAGCTATGCTTCTAAAACTTTAATAAACATTCAAGTCATACGGGGATCTTGCTAAAATCCTGGTTGTGATTCAGTTGATCTGGGGTGGGGCTGGAGACGCTGCATTATTGACAAGCTCCTAGGTGATGCAGTAATCTTGGACCACATTAGCAGCAACAAAAGCTTAGAAAAAAAATCCAAACTTCCTGCTCATGTCCTACTTTATCTGGCCCCTGCCCAGCAATCGCACATCATCTCCAACTCCTGTTCTTCCCTCTCATTACGATGTGGCCACACCGGCCTTCGTTCTGTGGCTGAAGTGTGCCAAGTTGTTCCTGCCTCAGGGCCTTTGCACGTGGTGTTCCCATTGCCTAGAAGGCCCCTTTCCAAGAGCTCCACATGGCTTGCTGCTTTTCTTTATTTAGATCTTAGTTCAATAATCAGAGAGTACTTCTTGGACCACTTCATCTAATGAAGCACTTCATCCCCCGGGGAACTTGCTATGGCTGTTTGCTTTTCCCATTTCATAGCACTTACCATTCTCTGAATTTATTTTGGTACTGTATCTGCTGACTTGTTAATTTTCTGTCTTCATGCTCACGTTTGTTCCAAATGAATAAGGATTTGGTTTCCTTTACTCTAGACCTATCCTAGAGCCTGGCACATGGTAGTTTCCCTTTTCATGTTTGGGAAGCATGAAACATGAACATGAACACGAACATGCTGGAGTGTGTCTGAGACGAACCAGGAAGGAAAGCTCTGGCTTACTGAATGCTTTCGACAAATCAGAAAGAAGACTGTGTCCACAGAAGAGGGACTAGCTTCATGGAGCCTGGTGGGAGAGCAGCTAGGAAACTGGGGTTTGCCTGGTCTCCAGTCCTGACACCATTGCCATGATGGCATGATAGGTGTGGATGCTACAGGCTAGCAGTGGTCCTCTCAGGATATGGCTTCCCACTTAAAGTGGCCCTGGGGGAAAATGTGTTGACCAGGCTCCTATGGCAAATTATAAGCTTGATATAAATGCATAAATAGGCACTTAATCAGGAAATCTCTTGTGAATTGAGTTAGAGTGGGTCAGTCGCTCAAGCCTGGCTGCTCTGCTTTCTAAACAAAGGGAGATTCTAAAACAGCCAGGCTGTGCTTTGGACCTACTTACCTGATCTTCCTCTGCGTCAAGGCTTCTCAGAGTTCAGCCCCCAGACTAGCAGCATCAGCGTTGCCTGAAAACTTGTTGGAACACAAATTCTTCAGCCTCGTCCTCAACCTCCTGCATGGGAAACTATAGATGAAGTCTGGCACTCTGTATTAAGGAGCCTTCTGGGAGATTTTGATGCACTGTCAAGTTTGAGAACCATTGTTAAGTTTCTCTTTCCGGGCAATTATCGCTCTGCATGGAATGGGGTGGGGTTAAGGGAACAGTCAGGGTTGGGAGGCTTCATAGCTACAGCACAGAAGGTCCTGTTACAAATTAAGTGTGGATTGGATCAGTGATTCTTAGAGGGAAGGGTCAGGAATTGAAGAGGAATTGGGGAGGGAACTTCTTTTTGTTTCAGAAAATCTCCGGGGGAGGAGGGCTAGTTTGCAAAAGCACAGTTTCAAGTTATCACAGTTTTGTTTTTCAAACCTAATATTTATTTCGAAATTTCAAACGAATCAAAGGAAGGTGTTATACACACTGCCAACCGGTACTGACTATATGTATAGTTTAGGTGGGAATATAAAGCTGAGTCCCTACCTCCTGTCCAATCCACATTCTCAAAAACAAAAACAGATGAAGAGAGAGAGAACCTATGAAGCTTGCCCCAGAGATAGGAGAAACAGAAACTCAGCACAGGACCTGCCATAGTAACTCATGAAATGGGTTGTACAACTTTATGGAGCTCCTACGGTGTGCCATGCTCTGTATTTGCTCTGTGAAGAGGATACAAAGATAATTTAGCCAGCCACTTGTGCGGCCAAGGAACTCACAAGAGAAAATTCAGAGGACAGATATTTCCTCTGTTTGGCAGATGTTGGAAGTATGAATGTGTGGGACCTTTGATCAGTGTCTTGGCTTTTGGTTTAGCCAGATAATAGAGCACATGTGGACCAGTGGGAGGTGGGGGTGGGGCGGGGATGGGATGGGGACTGAACGATGAGTTAGGAGGCACAGAAAGGCTCAGACAACTACCAGTCCAGGAACCCACGCCCACTGCTTGGGTCTGGGACCATGTTTAGGAGATCTGAGGTTGGAGAGGAACAATTGCTAGCATTTATCTAGCGACTACATGTGGCAGCAATTCATCTAGGTGCTGTACATACATGAACTTATTCTTCATATGAACCCTATAAGATAGATCCTATTATCACTCCATTTTTACTGATGGGGAAACTGACACTCAGAGATGAGATAACTTTACCCAAAGTCACACAGTTATGGAGTGGTAGAGACTAAATTTAAACACAGGCTGTCGGCTCTAGAGTGCTCCCAAGGGCACGACAAATCAATGTGCCGCCTCAAGCGTCTGCGCTGTCCTGCTGGGTTGGGGTGGCAGAAGGATGGGACACTTATTTTAGAGGGTAAAAAGGGTCCAGAGGAAAGCCTTTCTGTCTTTCTCCATGCCTGAGCATTTCCTTTGGCATAGACAACAGGGAGTCCCGTGCTTTGCGAACCAGCTACAGGACAAGCACTTTACGCCCCTTCCCACTAGATGGCGACCCCTAAACCCACATAGAAATTCTGGAACCTCCACAGTCCTCATCTTCCATGGTTTGGTCGAAGCTTAGGAATTGCAGGATGCAAACCCCGTTTCGGTCCAAGGGGCCACGGGTCCCTGCCCCACCCTATCTGGAGGTCGCAGGCAGCCCCCAGGCAGGAGGCAGGCGTGGGGGGACAGGGGTAGGCGGGGAGACGAGGCTCCCCAGGCTCCGGGAGCCTGGGGGAGGAGTCGGCGCGGAGCAGCCACTCCAGGGACACGGAGGCGGGAGCTTCCGCACCGCCTGCGCCCACCGCGGAGTGGAAGGCCGGGACCGCTGTTCGCGGGGCGCAGGACGCGCGGCAGGGGCTCCGAAGGCACTGGCCGGGAAGCAAGTGCGCGGCGTGGACTACAAGTCCCAGCATGCCCAGCTGCCCTGACCCAGCCCCTGCTGCCACTTAAAGGCTCCGGGAGCCGCAGCCGTCGGGTCGCCGCGGCTTTCGCTTTGCTGCGGTGGCTGAGCGGGCGGGAGCAGCAGGCTCGGTCGCCGGCTCTCCTCGCGTCCCGGCTCCCACAGCGCCAAGGGGCGCTCCTCGTGCAGCCCTCCCGGCTCGGGGATTCCCTTCAAAGGCGCCCACACCCCCGGGCTCCCCGCCTCGGCCACCTTGCGGCCCCGATGCCGAGGCATGGATAGAGCAGTACGGCGCGCGGCGGCGATGGGAGAGAAGAAGGAGGGCGGCGGCGGGGGGGACG